CTTCTCTGATCTTTTGGTTTTAACCCCAATATCTGACTAAAGGTTTTTATTATTAAGACCAGTTAGAATTCATGCTACAAGCTGGTTATGGTGGTGCACACTGGTAGGATTTGCTGAAGGAAGCAGAGGCAGGAGGATCACGAGTTCGAGGCCAGCCTGGGCTACACACTTTTGACCAGGATGATGCACGCCTTTAATCCCAGCACTTGGAAGGCAGAGGCAGGCAGATCTCTGTGAGTTCGAGGTCAGCCTGGTCTACAGTGTGAGTGCCAGGATAGGCTCTAAAGTTACACAGACAAACCCTGTCTTGAAAATAAAACAAAACAAAAGAATTCATACTACAGGCAGACTTAGGGTTTTAAGTGACAGTATCTGGATTCTGACTCTATTACTCTTACACCCCTAATGTTTTCACTATTGGGTAAATAGGCTTACCCTGCACTCTATCAAAGGTGGCCAGCAGCAATGGTGATCTTAGCAAACATTTTATTATTGACTTTCAAACCATGGGTGGCTCCTATGCCTGTGTCTTTGTGGGAGGGACACCCAAGACTCACGTAACTGACAACCTTCTCAGGTAGACAAAAGACATTTCCTGAAAAGATGGGTAAAAATAAAAATAAATAAAACCAACAACTGTTCACTAAATCCTATTCTTTGGATGTTCTTTCTACACATACAATTTCAAAACTACTATAGTCCAAGACAAGGGCATTATCCCACAGACAACTGAAATACTATCTCTTAAATGGAAGACATACTAAAATTTTGTTCAATTACTGCATCTTTCTTTAACAGTGGGGGTTTGTGTGATATGGGTTTCCTGGTCAAGCCCAAGTGAGAGCACACTGAAATTAACAGATCAGGTTCACAATCCTTATGTTAGTGATCTTCTTTTCTCTCTGGAGAGCAGATTGTCCAAAAAGTGTGTTAGAACTAAGCCATCATAGGATTTTGGAAGTGTTGGTGTTTCAGTTAGCACAATCCTGGTGAGATTTTCATGGCGCTGATCATTTTGATTTTTTGGTCAGTGTGGTTTAGAAATAAAAGCAATGAGATAATTTATTAATCTGATGCCTTGTGTTTCCTGCATGTATTGCATGTAGCTAGCTGTCCACTTAAGTTAATAAACTATAACCCTGGAATTGTATCTGGCAGTGTAAGGGTTGAGAGTTGAAAATATGAAAAAAAATCATCTAACGTTCAGAAAAGCCTGGCCCTGGTCATTTCATGTATCTCTTGATGAGCATACACACACTGCTGACAAAGTGTGACAAAGAAGCTCTAGTGTGGAACCTTCCCCTGACAGGAGATTTGAGGGCAAAGACACAGATAACTCAGCTGTATTATCTCTAAAGTTTTCTTAGCCGAAAATTTTGGAGGCAAAGGCCAAAGTAGAAACATTTAGTTCTAAGCTGGGCCAGTGAAGACTGGACATTCATTGCACTGCAACACATTGCTCACTTGCTACTAACTTACCCAATATCTAGCTAACAGCCTTCTTAGCAGTACTCAACTCCTGATACAGATTTTCTGGTTAATTTTAGCTCTTATTGGATAAAAATTCTCACACCTCAATTTTCTTTCCTATAAGAAGTACAAAAAAGGGTGTTTCTAACTGGGGTGGCCCTCTTATTATAATAGTGCTTCGGCTACTGAAAGTCTCTCTTCAGATTCTGAAACCAGCAACAAAGTTTCAAGGTTATATTTTCACTGGTATCAAGATAGTGGACCATAAGCTCAGCAGGGCTGCTTTAAGCCTGGACATGAGCATACTGTGCCATTCCCACCTTTTCTAGAACTAATCACGTGGACAAATCGTGAGATTTGGTTTATTCTGTGTGTCCAGATAGGAATTATAAATGGGCAGCTAGTATTGCCTACAAAGCTAGCAAAGGTTAAAAAAAATTAAATACAAAAACTATTTAAAAATAGATAAAAGTCATGCCAGGGGATTTGACTATTCTAATAATAGTTTGACCTTATCTGACAAGTCCCAACAGATACATTTCTAAACAATAAAGCAAGAATAATTTTTTCCAAATAATAAAATTACATTAGAGAGCATTTTTGCTGTTTTTTGAAATTAATTTTTAAATTTAAATTAAAAACAATCTTATTTTATATACCAATCCCAGTTCCCTCTCCCTCCTGTCCTCCCATTCCCCCCACTATCTCCCCAGGGAGGGTAAGGCCTCCCATGGGGGATCATCAAAGTCTGTCACATCATTTGGGGCAGGACCGAGACCCTTCCCAGTGTATCTAGGCTGAGAGGCTCCATAGGGAATGAGCTCCAAAAGCAAATTCATGCACTAGGGATAAATACTGGTTCCACTGCCAGTGGCCCCATAGACTGCCCAAGCCCCCCAATAGACACCCACGTTCAGGGGCCTAGTTCTGTCTTATGCAGATTTCCCAGTTGTCAGTCTGGAGTCCAAGACAAAAACTGGATTTAAACAATACATATCCACAAATCCAGCCCTACAGAAAACACTGGTGGGAAAACTCCAACCCAAAGAAGTTAGCTACACTCACAAAAACACAGGCAAGAGACAATCCCACATTACCAAAATCCAAAAAATGGGAAACACACAACACCACCCCCACCAACGAATTCAAAAATATCAGGAATCAACAACCAATGATCATCAATATCTCTTAATATTTATGGTTTTAATTCACCTATAAAAAGACACGGGCTAACAGAATGGATATGAAGGCAGAATCCATCCTTCCACTGAATACAAGAAACATACCTCAACTTCAAAGACAGATGTTACCTCAGAGTAAGGGGTTGGGAAAAGATTTTCCAATCAAATGAACCTAAGAAACAAGCTGGTGTAGGAATCCTAATATCTTACAAATTAGACTTCAAACTAAAATCAGTCAAAAGAGATGAAGAAGGGCATTTCATATTCACCACAGGAAAAGTCCGTCAAGATGAAGTCTCAATTCTAGAGAGGATTTCTGATAGCAGGATAGATACAGAAGACCACTAAGAGTTGATGAGTAAATTTTGATAGCAAAAAAACACCAGATCTAATTATTTTTGAAAGAAAATGACCATAAAAGAATGAAGTTGAGTAAAAGTTACAGAAAGGAGTCAAATTTTGTGAAGGACTGAAATCAGAAAAACAAAAGCTGACCAAATAGAAAGGCTGGAACTGGAATACAGTTGGAGAGTAGTTGATCTTGCATAAGGGCAAGGAGTTGTCATTCTAAGTGTGGACAGAAGACCAGCACATTTCTAGCATTTGGAAAATTGAAGGAATTTGTAGTCAGTGGCCTTAGTCTTCTGTGAAATGTGAAGCAGGTCTTATAATGAAATGAGACTGGGATTTAAAGATTGCAGAAGGTATTCAAATGTGAAGTGAGACAAAGGTGCCGAAGACCATACAAAACGGGCAAGATCATACAACCTAAGGCTGTAAGATAGATTTTGTTCTACACCAGAACTCAACAAACAGCAAAAACAGGCAGATAGTGAGCATGTTGTATGTATATTTACATAGCACATGCTATACAGATAAGCCCCTGGAAATGCACTTTGATTTCACAGATTACGCACATAGTAGGCACATGATGAGTTTTTGCTTGAATGAATTGATTTAGTCATCACCAATTCTTCTTTGGTACTCTGTAGAGTACTGGCAACTGCCCACATTTCATATGGTATGCCAGTGCTAAAAAGAAAATGAAAAAAAAAATCAGGCACTCAGCTAAACTTAGCAGTCTTAAAATGGCAACTCTGTCAGTCGAGGCACTTTGTATCTCGTGCCAGTACATCTGTCTTTGATGTTTGCTTCCTTTTCCTTATGCCACTACTAGTACTAGAGCAGAAATGGCTAATTCTGAGTTCAATAAGCTACATAAACACGACACAGTGTATGTGCAGACCTATATCATCTCAGCACTCGTGAGGCGGAGGAAGGAAGAGCGCCAATTCAAGGCTAGCCTGGGCTACACTGGAGACTTTGTTTCAAGAGGAAAGCTACATCTCAAATGGTCTGCAAGTTTCCCAGGTACTTAAAATGAACTCAGAATCCAGACCGAGAGATACATACAGTCCTGGCACAGCTCCCAGATCCACTCTTTCGGAACTATCTGGTCTTGGACTCCACTAAATTCCTATTACAAACGTGTAAAAGTCAGGCTCAGGAAGTCTATAGTCCGAGACTGAACTCTGGCGAGGGAGCTGTATAAAGTGAGGATATGACTGCTGCAAGGTGTGATTGAGAGGGAGCTCAGGAGTCTCTCTCCTCACACGAAGTCACCTCTGAAGATCCAAAGCCCTCCGGATTTGGCGGTGGAGAAAATGGCCAGGCGAGAAAGTCCGTCCAGGAGGTCCGGGGCGGAGGCCCCACCTCCCGGATCAGGAAGCCTGGCCTCCCACCAGCATTGCTGCCCCGAGCTTCCCGCTGGCTTCCCATCCCACCCGGACCCACTGCTCTCCATCCCGCCACCTCGGCTTCCCCGAGCCCCCGCACGCTCGTGGGGGCCCGACTCCGCGCTCGTGGAACCAGCACTTTGGACAGGCAGGCAGCGACCCACGCGCGGCCGCTCGGGCGCCGGCTGATGGCGTCACTCGCGCTTCCGCCTGCGGCTGCGTTCTAATCAGAAGCCAGGAAGGAAGGAGGGAGGGCTGCAGGACTGTGTGTGGGGGAAGTAGCGAGGAGAAGACAAGCCATCCCGGCGCTCGATCGCTCGCTCGCCCGTGGCCCCTGCCTGCCGTCCCCGCTCACACGCCGTGCCCCCGGCGGAAGCCACACCAGGCGCCCTTCCTCGGCGGCTCCTTCGGGACGCCTGCTCGGCTTTCCCGGGTACGGCGTTCGCGCTCTGCCTTGCCCCCCCCCATCACCCTCCCGCCCTCCCGCTCGCTCGCTCGCTCGCTCTCTCCCTCCCTCCCTCCCTCCCATCGCCGAGCTCCCCGCCCTTAGTATCGCGAGACGAGGTGAGAGCTGGCGGAGCGGCGGCGGCGGCGGCAGTAGAGGTGACCGAGGCGGTGGCGGTGGCGGAGGCGGCCCGGAGCGCTGTGTCGGCCCCGGCGCGGCCGAAGTCGCGGTAGAGCGGAGCCCCCACGCCCCTCCCCCGTCCGCGCCCTCCCTCTTCCCGCGGGGATGGAGAAGGCGACGGTTCCGGCGGCGGCTGAGGGAGAAGGGAGCCCCCCGGCGGCGGCGGCAGTGGCGGCCCCCCCCGCGGCGGCGGCGGCGGAGGTCGGCGGCAGCGGCGGCGGCGGCGGCGGCGGGGCTCGCCCGGCCTCGTCTCCTCGTGGGATGGTGCGGGTCTGCGACCTGCTCCTCAAGAAGAAACCACTGCAGCAGCAGCACCACAAGGCCAAGCGGAACCGGACTTGCCGACCCCCCAGCAGCAGCGAGAGCAGCAGCGACAGCGACAACAGCGGCGGCGGCGGCGGAGGAGGCGGCGGCGGCACCAGCAGCAACAACAGCGAGGAAGAAGAGGACGACGACGACGAGGAAGAGGAGGTTTCTGAGGCAAGGGCCTGGTTTCACCTCGAGGAGGGAGGAGGGGGCCGAGAAGGGCCGAGGGTGGGAGGGGACTGGCGCTGGGACCGAGTCCTGTGGGTTTAGGTCTGTCTTGGGGACCAGGCTGTCGACTGCCCCCTTTCTTTGCTCGGCCTGAGTCGTGAGGTGCGGGGATGTGGGGGAGGGCGGCTGACACGTGGGGGTGGGAGGACCACAAAGTGCAGTGAGTTGGTGGAGCGCTTGCTACCCTAGGATGCTTCTTCACACGGTTAAGGGCGGAGGGACTGCCGAGATTCCCGGGTTGCACGTTGGAGCCGGAGGGTGGTCTCTCCGGGGCCAGGAAGGCCACCTCATTCCCGGGGCGGGGGCGGAGCTAAAGCGGGAGGGGTAAGATAATAGGTAGGAGAGCCTCTTGGGGAAAGGAACGACGGCGAGGTTGGTAGTTTTCTGTCAGGGTGAGGTGGAGGAGAGCAGCTCTGGAGGGGTGGTAAGGTTGTAATGGACTCGGAGCTAAGTATTTGTGTCTGGGAGAGACACGTGAGAAGCTGTACTTTTCCATACTGTTTTGCTGCAGGGCTTTTTTTTTTTAACTATCGTGGCTGCTGAAGTAGTCTTAACTTCCTGGATTTATGAAAGGTTTTGGATGAACCGATCTTAGACCCGTATGCATTTGCAAATGACTTAGTACATGACAATTCGGCTTGATGCTCTATGCATACGTAATACATCATCAGGTTCGCCCTTAGTAAGAAATAATTAAACCAGATCCCGCTTCCCCCCCTTTTCCTTTTCAAATACACGAGGAAGAAGGGACTGCTTTGCACCTGGGTTGGTTGTAGTGATTGGGATAGGGAGGCCTTATGATTTGTCCTAGTGATCTGGTTTCATAACTGTTTATAGTTTTTCCTGGGTGTACAGACAGGCGGCGTTGTAGCTTCTTGGTCCTCAAAGAAGGCCTTTTAACCCAAAAGCCTAGTGAACCATACTGATAGCCAACTAAGACTTAGCCGTCATTAACTCTAAAACTCACCCTCTTGTCAGTGCTATGCAGTGGAAGCTTTAAACATCTTAATGCAGAGGAAGAAGGAACTTAAGATAGTGAGGAAAGCAGCTGTCAAAGTTGATTAAAACTTAGTTCTAAGAGAGAAGACTAATTTACTTATTACTTATTTCCTTCCCCAGACATACCTGCGGAAGCCTCCTCTTGAGATAATTTTTTTTCTTATTACCATCCAGGCTCTGTTTAAATAGAGAAACACCTTGGAGAGGGAATGCTATTCACCTGTTAACAATAAGAGCAAAAATACTTTTTTTTTCACCTTAGACTAGATGAAGCTATGTAGGTAGACTTCTAAGAGTAGGAATATATACACCAAAACTTCTCCCTTCTGTTATTTCTATTTGGCCTATTGTGGTAGATTTGTACGGGTAGTTAGTTTAATTGGATGTTTTGGGATAGTATGTTGCCCAGGCTTCATTAGAAGCATTGGAGACAATAGAAGAAGAGAAAACAGAACTTTAATATTGAAATAGTGGTGAGAAAGATGTGCTGGAATCCTTTTCTGTTTAAATGCTTAGAACTAACCGGTTTATAAATCTCAGAAGTGGGGAGCATTTTCCCATACTTCAGCTCAGCCTTTTTGTTTAAAAAATAAGGACAGCAAGGCTTAAAGGAAACTGGCTGTGTCTGATAGTTGCAAAAGTGGGAATCTACAACGTTTTTAGAGACTTGGAACAGAACTTTGAAAGTGATTTATTTCCTTGTGTCTCCCTTCTGACCTATTTCAAAACCTGGTGCTGAATTTCAGGTTTAGCAGCTGTGAGCAAAATACCAGTATGAAGGTTTTTAAGTTTTTAATGTTAAGTTCTGGTTTGGAACAAGGTCATGTACTTCTTGTAATACTTAAGGGAATTTTCTGCTGGAAACTCTACATACCTAGGTAGTTTTGTCCACTGGAACATGCCCTAATCATTCCTTAAGTTGTAAATGGCTCAAAGCTTGTAGATATGTTAATTTATTTTTGATTTATTTTTAAAAATTTTATTTTATGTGCATTGGTGTTTTTCCATGAGTGTCAAGACTGTTGTGAGCTGCCATGTGGGTGCTAGGAATTGAACCCCGGGTCCTCTAGAAGAGCAGCCAGTCCATTTCCCCAGCCCCTAGATAAGTTAATTTTGTAGGATGGTGGATGGTTTTTTTTGTTGTTGTTTTTTAAATATGAAAATAAGTATTATATATATTAACTTTGACCAACTAAGATAGTGTTGTTATTGTGTTTTGTAATGCCATGGGCACAAGTAATATAAGCAATAAGCTTGTCTTTTGTTGAGTGAAATATGTGTAAGAAAGTTGTACCATTAAAAATGTATGCAGCACATGATGGATAGGCAAGACAAAAAGGAGTAGTTTTTTCTCTGCACTTGCCTCCATTCTTTGATCAAAGTGAAGAGGAAAACCTTAGGGTGCCATAAGTCAGATGGGTGAGTTGTGCAATGCTCGCTTTCCACTTTCATTGTCCAGACATGCCGTCAGAAGCCGCTATCAGAAGCTTAAATTACTTTTTTTTTCTTTTCTCCAAATTCATTGTTTTAGCCGACACAGTTTAAAAATGCAGGTGACATGATTCTTGAACTAATAACTTCAGTAAAAATTATCAGAAGATTAAAAGGGAATATGACAACTTTTGTAATGTTTAACTTGGAAACTTGATGGATATGAAGGATGATTTAATGTGACAAAATACATTGATGGTTTTGAAGAAATGTTAGCTGGGTATTGTCTGTCTCTTGAAAGAGGATAAGGAAAATGAATTTAAATAACAACTTTAAAGTACCTGGTTGCAACTCCTATGTATACATTAGAGTACATATCCCCAGAGTGTTTCAGAACAGGATGGTAATGTTCTGATGTTTGCGTAGCCTCAGCTGTACCTGGAAAGAACATACAAGACTGAAAGCTTGCTCTGTCTTGACACAGACCTTAGCTCTATGTTGAAAATATAATTTTCTAAGTTTTCAATGGACTACTGACTAGTAAGGAACAAACTATATTTCCCAACATTAAAAACCATGTTGTACTTCTTTTGAAGTTAGAGGACTAAATTAAATATTACAAGAAAAAGGTGAAATTGCAAGAGTTTATGCTTAATTTTAGAAATAGTATTGCATTGTGTTTAACACAGTTTTGGATATGAGTGAAAGGCAGTTTTTTTCTAAAGCAGAATTCAGAGGAGGAAATGTTAAAGATAGAACTTCTAAGTTCAAGAGTAGTGTTTTTGTTGAAGAGGGCCGCATAAAATATAAGTATGGCAGAAGTCCATGAGAATCCCATTTCTGTGTAGGGAAGGTGTGGTTTTTACTTTAAGAGTTGCACCTGATGGAGGAAGGTACAGTGGGGCCGAGTGAGTGAGTACTGACAGTACTGAAAGGCTTTAACTAGGCTAATAGACTTTTCAGCTACAAAAACAGGTAGAGTTGAGAAGGGAAAATATTCAAGTTAGACTCCTGAAACTAATTTCTTCTTTTTTTAATTAAAAAATGTTAGGTTCCTCTATTGTAAACACATGAAATCTCAGATTAGTCAAAAGAAACTTAGCTGCTGTTTCCCAGTTCTGTTTCGACTGATGCAGCATTATTTGTAAAATAGATCTTTGAAATATTATTGTCTTATCTTCTGTTTAAAGACTTGATTAAAAACAGAACAAAAAAAGGAATAGCATACAGACGTGTTCAGTTAGTACCAGTTGTAGGGAGAATCCAGATTTCATTTAGGAAACCATGAATAGAGTTCCCTCCTTTCTTGTACCCAGAGCCTGTGAATAGCTGATCTTTGGATTTTAACATCCTCTCTCTCTCTCTCTCTGTCTCTCTCTCTCTCTCTCTCTCCCCCCCTGTCCACCTCTCCCCTTCCTCTTCTCCCCTTCCCCTCCTCCTCCTTACCTCCCTCTCCCCTCTCCAGTTACTTAACCTGTCTAGCTCATAGACCCTAGTTTATAGGATTGTTAAGAAAGTGACAGGAGCCCAGCAGTGGGTGGTAGCAAACATCTTTAATCATCCCAGCACTCAGGAGGCAGAGGCAGGAGAATCTCTGAGTTCAAAGCCAGCCTGGTTCATAGAGCGAGTTCCAGGACAGTTAGGGACGCTACACAGAGAAACCCTGTCTCAAAAAACAACCAACAAAAAAAAGTTCATATTTCTCATTTTTCTTTTACCATAACCCAATGAAGTAGATATCACCATATTTATTTCATTATTCAAAAAATGATTTATTATTGTTTAATATTCCGAATTGACTAAGCAATGGTAAACAAAACTGTTTCAAGACATGTAAGTTATAAATGTACCAATGAATAAACAGAGGTTGACAAAATGTAAAAATGAGGTTAAATTATACACGTTTACATATAGTTAATTATAAATTCTGTTTAAGGAGTATGACTTTCAGAAGTATGAAAATGTGACAGGGACAGTGAGATGGCTCAGAGGATGAAGATGTTGTCAAGCCTGATAACTTGAGTTTGATCCCAGGAACTCACATGTTGGAAGGAGAAAACTGACTCCCTCAAGTAGTCCTTTGACCTCAGATATTAGTGCCCCCCCTTCCAATGTCTTTTTAAATGCTGGGACAGTTTTTTTTTATAGGCAGAGATTCTAGTTTAAAATAGATTTAAGTGACTTTGTGAGGTATATATATTTAATAAGTATCAGGACAGGATTTAACCTGGGTTTGTTTGATTCGAAACATGTCCATTTGTTCCTTTAGTGTCGATTATGCTAAAAGGAATATATTTCCTTTAAAATAGGGGTTGTTGACTTGGATTCTGGATAGAGTAAGTAGCCTGAAATTACAAGGTTTATTTACTTATTTATTTTAGTTTGGGTTTTGTTTTGTTTTTTTTTTTCTTCCACAGCCCATCACAGCTGTGCCCAACTTTTTATTAGATACTCAAAAGATCTGTGAGTCTAACATCCCTCTGTTTGGCTCTATCTTTTACAAACTGCCTCTGAGA